AGGAACCCGGCACGCCCTATGAGACGAATTCCAAGGTCTTTCGACGACATTGCGCACTCAGAGGAAGATATCAATTACTCTGAGTCAGGTCAGAGTCTGTCAACTCAAAATCTGGCCACCTTCCCTGCCCAATCTAGATTCCGACACGTTCTTCTAACGCTCAGAGACACACTTCAAACCCCTTTCAACTCGTTTGGCCTCAGTCGACTATACCCTCATCATCCCTCCTTCGAGCCAGATGGATTTGTTCCATCCTCATTGCTTGGAAGAACATGTCCAACTGCCCCTCAAGAAACTGATTCTCTGCCAAGGGTCTTTGCTCCACCATACCCCTTTCCTAATATAACAATTTATCGCCTCATGTCCTGGATGAATTCTGGCACTAGTCGGATATCGGAAACTAAAGTCGCAGCCCTTGTGAAAGATGTAATGCTCGCAGAAGATTTTGACCGCAAACACATTCAATGGTTTTCAGTGAGACAGAGTTTGCGAGAGTTGGATAAGGATGAAAGTGGGAAGAAAATCACCTTTCCAGATGACTGGATTGAGACTAGCATCACGATCAACATTCCAACGAAGTCAAAGGAGGATCTCTCTAGGCCTTACAGTATTCCTGGGTTCCATTATTGCCCTCTGGTAGAAGTTATACGTGCCGCATTCACAGATGCTCAAGCATGGGCATTTCATCTTTTGCCCTTTAAACGTCTTTGGAAGGATCCTCTAGATGATCATCAAGAGCGAATATACGACGAGCTTTATACCTTGGATGCTTGGCTGGAAGCTCAAGACAATCTCCAAAAACTGCCAAAGAAGTCCGGGTGTTCATTGGAACATGTAATCGCAGGTTTGATGTTGTTTTCCGATGCTACTCACCCTGGCGAACTTCAGAACTGCCAAGGCTTGGCCGCTTTATGCATACTTCGGGAATCTCACGAAATACTTACATTCGTCGCCTACATCAGGGTCATGTCACCTTGTAGGATTTTTACCTTCCATGAGCCCACCTGATTGTATATTCAACAAACACCGCTAACATCAACTATCTTCGTCAGCTTCCTGATAATATTAAAGATATTCTAACTAGCCTGCCTAGAATTTCAAAAAACCGGCTTGGCCTCCCTTCAGACACACTGCCGAAGGGAATTATTTCATGCGTGCTGGGAAATCTTGTTGGACACAGAATTTCTTTATGTGTATCAATACGGATTTGTTGTGAAATGTGCCGATGGAGTCATGCAGAGAGTATATCCTTGAATCTTCACATATTCAGCTGACTACCCGGAGAAGTGCATTTTCCATTGTGATTGTCAAAAATGTCGGATGGATCACACATTTCTAGGGCTCTAATTGCGACCATCAAAGACATGGGCTCATGCCCATGCCCTCACTGTCTCACACCGAAAGGCTTGTTTGGTTACCTCGGACTCGCAAAGGACATGAAATGCCGCGTAAGTAACCTTCGAGTTTATGTTACAACTAAGGTTGCCAAGGCTCACGAGTTCATCTATGGATTTGGAAATACTGTCGATGGTGCAAAGGTCGACAATACTCTCGGAGAAGGCTCGTGGGTTCCTGTTCTGGTAAGTCCAACCTTATTAGATGTGATCTGCTCAAACTCGTCATTGCAGAATCAATTCGTTGAGAAGCTGGGACCTCTGGGCCTCGATCCATTTCGGATGCTTGTCGTCGACCTGATGCATGAGTGCGAACTAGGTACTTGGAAGGCGCTCTTTACACACCTACTGAGGCTCCTTTATGCCCTCCCTGGGGGCATTCAGCTTGTCGCGACCCTTGACGAGAGGTATGTGGGGTTCAAATAGATTATCATTGCACTAATGAGTTTTCAATTTCTCGATCTCGTGTCAGATTTCGCCAAGTCCCGACATTTGGTAGCGGCGTGATTCACAAATTTGCGAACAATACTTCCGAGATGAAGAAATTGGCAGCCCGTGACTTCGAAGATATCCTACAGGTTAGTTTTCATTGTTTAAGTTTATGCATAGGCTCACTGACATTCCCTCCAGTGTGCTATTCCAATTTTTTGAAGGGCTTTTCCCTCCCAACCATGATGCAACCGTACAGTCTCTGCTATATCGGTTTTCAGAATGGCATGCACTTGCTAAACTCAGGTTGCATTCAGATTCTACCTTGGTTTTTCTGGAAGAATCATTCAAAAACCTCTCCCAGCAGTTGTGAAAGTTTTGGACCGACACATGTGCTGCCTTCAACACTCTGGAGTTACCAAAAGAGAGAGCGGCTCGTCAAAGAAGGTTGATCAGTGTCCTGAAACCCACAATGTCTCCCCAGAATCCACGGGGCCCAAGGTAAAGAAGTTCAATCTGAATACTTATAAGTTTCATGCGATGGGAGATTATGTGAGGACGATAAGGTTTTTTCGGGACCACTGACTCATTTACTACTCAAATTGTGTGTATCAACGACATTCCTTCTATTATGTACCTGAAATTCTCATACAGGGGAGCTTGCACACCGAGCACTGAAGGTGTTCTATCCGCTGACTAACAAACTAGATACTCCATCGCAATTAGCTAAACACAAACGCAGGTGTCGTGTACTTCGACGGGTGGCAGAGGCCGCGGCATGTATTGCTCCCCCCATCAATCAATCACTGATTCAAGTTGATCCCGGAAAGCGTTACCATATCGCATGCAATCGGAACAATCCAGTTGCTCTATTCATGTTCCTTCAGGAACATGATGACGACCCAGCTCTCAAGGTAGAAGTCGAGTGTCATTTTATACACATGTTTACTCAGTGGTTATCAGAAATTCATACTGAAACTAAAGGATCACATCCTTTATAGGCTGCGCAAGCTAGACGTCAGCTATTGTGATCATACCTTCACCGACGAAGAACATAACTCAGTCATCATTCCTAACGACACGATCTACTCCATTCACACCATGCAAGTTCACTACACCACGTACGATATGAGGCACGATGAAGGATCTTCAACTCAGCTGAGGGTGCAGCTGATATAATTGTTGAAGGGAGGAAAATATGAGTGCGATATGTTCGTCCCTTAGGGGAAGCGGAGAAAGCAAATATCCACTGGTCAACTCTAGGGGGAATGCGCAAAGCGCGTGATAAGGCGAAAGCGTGGGAACAAAGGCGCTATAGGCGCGCGAAGCGCGGGATAGTCGCGCGTCGAAAAGCGGAACTGGGTGAAAGCGGTATGCGAGCGATAGTGAGATGTTAAGACGTGTACTGAGATGCTGATAAGACAACTGATGCGGATATGGCCACTAGAGCTAACTGCTACTAGGGCTTGCGATGATTTATTCAAAACATAATAAAAACTTGGAGATGGTGACTGTCTATGATGATGGTGGTCCGTGGTAATGTGTGTTGTGTAAAGTAAAACAATGTGTAATGAAAAATGTGTACCAAGTGAAAATAAACATGGTACAATGTTGAAATAAATGATAAATGGAGAAATGCATACCTGGGAACTTGGTTGGACATGGGAAAACACAGTGGGAAGTCAGGCGCCCTATGGCGCTTAGGCGCGGGAAAATTCGCCTAAAGCGCGCGCAAGTCGCGCAAGTGTTGCCTATGTCGCGGAAGTGTCGCCTATGTCACGCGCGTCGTGCGAACGTCGCGTTTATCGCGCTAGTGTCGCGTTGCATGCATAGTATTGTAGACTCGACCTATGTTGCAATATATGCCATTGTGAGGCTACTCAGGATCGAGTCTCTACAACGACTATGATACCATCAACCCTAGAACACATGCTGACGTGATGGTACTCTCAGGCGAGACAACGCCAACTCACCCGTATTGGTATGCTTGTGTTTTAGGTATCTATCATATTGAAACATGGCTCAACGACAGGGGGCAACCTGTGAAGCAACACCTAGAGGTTTTATGGGTTAGATGGCTGGCCCCCTTGCGGAACCATAAATCCGGCACGAAACACGCACATCTTCCCAAGGTCGCCTTTGTAGATGAGTCAGATGCGGATGCTTTCGGGTTTCTCGATCCGGGACAGGTGATTCGAGGAGTGCATTTAATTCCGGCCTTCGTTTCAGGTCACGGTGTTAGTTCCCTTCACTATGGAAAATCGTTCGTGCGTCCTGAAGGGGAGTTAGATGATTGGGAGGTATATTGCGTTAACACGTGAGTGCAAATGTCTATTCTTATGATATATTAATTCTCAACCTCCGAGTCAGATTTGTCGATCAGGATATATTTATGCGGTACACTCACCTCGGTGTTGGTTATCCGGCCATGCTGTGAAACATAACCAAAAATTGTCTCGGGTTCAAGTCTCCGGGCGCAACTGCCATAAGCAACAGCAACGAGACAGATATGGACCACGAAGGCGACAGTGACGAAGAGCGTGATACAGGATGCAGCAATGCAGAAGAAGAAGAGAGCGACGAAGAGATTAGTGATGATGAAACGGAAGATGAAAACTCAGACGAAGGGGGTGGGGACGATGACATTGATGTTGACCTACCATCGTTTTAAATTCACTCTGTCCAGTATTGATCTTTCACTTGCTAGTAGCTTCATAATTGTGAACATCAGAGTCCCTTGATGATGTCACACACTTCCTCCTGAGTTTGTTTGTTTGTTTGTATTTGTACCATTCCTGTGCTTTGTCTCATATTCTCAACATCTGTTATCACCCACTCATACATCAACAAATCACCTCAAAGGTAGACTCCTCGGCTAGTCGTACTATACCTACATGGCCATCATAACATGCCTCAACACCTTTGATCGGGTACTTGATTGGATGATATCGGATGAACAATGCTCATGGCCAGGACCTGTGCTTGGTTGCATCCTTGCGATTGAGGTTCGGTATCATGTAGGCCCTTACGTCGCTCCTACTTACTACAGGTGTCGCCCGAGCAGCTATCCCTAATGCCATGCTTCGTGGCATGCATTCTCTCCCAAAGCTATCAGTGCCTGGATGTTCTCTCACTTCATTGAATGGCACAGCGCTCCTACCCATTATGACCGTCTAACATTTTGAACAGCTCATAGACCACAATGATGCAGGGCTCGGAACCTTCCAGCAGCGGTACTGGATGAACTGGGAGTTCTATGAGCCTGGTAGGTTGAGAGTATGGAAGTGCGCTTGATGTGAATGATATACATTGAAGGTGGTCCCATCATTTTGATGATATCTGGAGAAAGTGACCCAGATGGTGAGTGCCTTGTTACTCAATTTGTGCTTCTCTCAAGTACTTGATTTTCATTAGGCTTCGAAATATGCACTACCAATGAAACCATCAACAGTCTCATTAGCCATCATCTTGGAACACTTTTTCCTTGGTTATTCCAATCCATACAACAACTTCACGTTACAATCTCTCATGTTCCTC